GATATGAATGAATTATTTTAGTTTGAACTCTTAACTTCTTATAAATTCAGGTAATCTAATTTAGTTTCTATGTAGTTCTTCTAAACAGTATCACTCAAAAGCCAAGAGTCTTGCAAATTTACTTCATTTTTACTAAGTAGGAAATAATAAGAATGACTCTTATTGAAAGTAGATGTTATAAAGTATGGTTTCAGAAATTTCTTTATGGGATTAGAGGAAAAATCTTTCTCATCAAAGTATGAATTTTAGATGACAAAGTAAAGTTTTAGATTCATTGCAACTCTGAGTTATTCTGATTAATTTTTACATTGCTTTGTTTTATTGTATTTCAAATCAAGATTAGTTTAGTTGCAATAAGTGACTTGCAATTGAATTTACTTGATTGACTATGCTGAGTAACTGCCTTGTAGTTAAAAGTTAATCTCTTTTGGGCAGTAATAATTCTTGACAACATTCAAATAATCAATTGTATTAGGCTCTAACCCCAATCTGCCGAATTTGCAAATTTCAATGTCTTGCTTAACTCTAATTTTCTGCTGCACACTGCGACCAGCAGCGTTCATAACCCAAGGATAGCTATTCTGATTTATATTGATACTCACATACTAATCTAAGTTCTCTTACACTTCAGGCTCTTATTAGAAGAAAATGTATTCTAATTTATATGCAAAGTCAAAATCTTTATCAGTTAGATTGTACTGCCTAGAATCCTTAGAGAGATCTAAACGATATTACGATGCTTAGATAGTAGTAGACTTTTACCATACTTGTATTAGTTGCATTAGAAAATATATAAATACACCAGCACGAACTAGTAAAGTAGCAAGTCCACCAGGGAATGATTTTAAATGAGGGTCACCTTTATAGGTTAGAGATACTGGTATGCCAAAAACATCCATGCTTTTTATCATACATTGCAACCGATGAGATAAAGTCAAATTTTTCTTTTCTTTCATTTAAAGTTTACTATTATTTTACTCTTGACGTATCTCAAAAAAATAACAAAAATTCCTAATTTTCTAGAATTCTTGCTGCATGGGGTTTTGGGGTTTTGGGG